CCTCTCTCTCTCTCTCTCTCTCTCTCTCTGATTTTATTTTCCCGAGCTTTACCTTTCCCAGAACCAAATAAAAACGTTTCACATGAAAGTGTGGAAAAGAGTATAGTAATATTCAAGGTAATAATTCAATATTCATCATTGTTATAACATTTGGATCACTCAACATTTCTGAAATGCTGTACAGCAGGGGGCGGGGCGTCATTTATTTAAAGTGCACAAATTCAAGTCATTCGCCGGCAAATTTGAAAATGGGTTGTTTTTTTGTTGTTGTTGTTTTGTTTGTTTGTTTTTTGGGACGGGGGGGCTACTGCATTAGGACAAAACTGTGATAACAAAACTTTCACTATGAAAGCAACACGGGAAGTACGTCGGGAAAAAATGATGTGCAGAAAGTGCTGAAGAAGAGTCATTTGGTTACCTGAACATCTCTCTCCGTAACGGAGTTCTCAAATTCGATTTTGGCCTTGTACCAGGGGTTGTCGATAGTCTGTCCGGTGTACACGTCAGTGTAGGTTGGGTTGGCCAGGAGTCCGGGCAGATGGTCAGTCTGGCGTGACCAGTCCCAGTAGGGGATGCCCACGAGAGAGCCGTGACGTCTGAGGGCATCCTCCACCTGGACGGTGTACAGACGATGCCATTGGGGGAAGGTGGCCATGCCGTGCAGACAGCACGCGTACCTGTTGGGGAGATGAGTACAGGATGGTTGATATACAGATGGTCTGAGGGGGGGGGGTGCTGGTTGGTTGTTATACAGATGGTGTGAAGGAGCAGATGAGTGCAGGGTCACTAATATAAATATGGTCTGGGGGATGTGGGAGATGAATGCTGGTAAGCTAATAATAGATGGTGTAATTGATAGATGGTGACGATGTCGTTCTGATAGAACAAGTATCCCAGTGGTAGATTGTTACGGATAGTCTAATACACAAATGAAGACACTGTGATGTGATATCCGAGGTCTAGCAGTTGTAACCTAGCATATCATAGAGATTAAAGGTGTAGAAATAAAGGGTGTCCTTTAAGCTCTCTTTTTCAAGACAGCCACGGCATAAAGGAATCGTGTGTGCTTAATCGCAGATAAATATCATTCTGGCAAGGACTGATTGCAAACATTTCTTATTGGAGATTTGCTTGATATGTGTACTTCAGTTTACTTCAGAATGTTGTCTTCAGTGACGACAATCTTGCTTTTTCTCCTCCTGTCCATCAGCTGTAGGGACACTCGGTAACCATACTTTTTTCTTCAATGTTTATTGCTTTTCGCCCCCCTCCCCCCCCCCCCCCTCTCTCTCTCTCTCTCTCTCTCTCTCTCTCTCTCTCTCTCTTTAAAAAAACAATACCAATAATATAATGGTTTATCAAAACTTTCTATTTACCTTTTGCTGGCACTGGGGCTTGGACACAGAGGGGGGATAGCGTGGAAGGAGGCGATGGACTGGTATCCGTCAGCGGAACTGTCGGCTTGAAGGGCAGCCATGGCTTTCAGGAGAGACAACTCCTCCTGGGGACTCAGGCTAGCGATGTTCTTCCTCACAAGGTAGTTTCCGACCTGACCGTCAGCCTCTTGTCTTTCGTCTATAGGAGGAGAAAGTGCGTGCCAAGGGAAGTAAATTAGATTTATTTTTGTTGCTATTTGAAGGCTAGGGTCTGGTTTCAGTGGATCTCATATAAATCTGAAACATTTAACGCTTGATATCAGAGAAAAAAATAGATTTGAATACACAAGTAATATCAGTGAAATGGCTTTTAAAGTACTGAATTCAATCTCGTAAAATAAATCATTAGAATAAATACGTACAATATGGTTTACCCCCACCCCACCATCCTACCACCCCCCTCCCCCCCCCAACCCCCCTCCCGCCCCGGTTTTTCTCTCTCCAAGTGCGTGTAACCAGAGGCTACGATTTCTAAAAACAGTTTTGTTTTCCAAACTACAAAAAGTGAAAAGATATATCTTTCGTAAAACTAGCAGTGAATGAAAGTGAACTAAGTTCGCTTGATTTCAGCCTGGAATTTAAATGAAAGAATAAGGTCTTACTAGATCCGGGTACGTAGAGAACCGTTGGCGCCGGCAGGAGGCTGGGGTTCAGATAGCTTCCGTTGACAGCGTGTATGTTGATCTTCAGGTCAAACTTGGCACCACTGTCCGGCCTGAGTCCCAGGTCTCTCACAGCGCGCGTGATGTCATACTTGTAGAGACGGTCAAACACGAAGGGCATCTCCAGCTGTCCACCCAAGACGGAGAATACTCCGGCCTGATGATGACGTCAGAAGAAAATATCATTGAAGAGATTCTGGGGGTTTTTTAATGTTAGTCTTTACTTTAATATAATTTACTCGAGAAACAATAATCTGAAAGCAAAGGTAGAGGGGGAGGGAGGAAAGGGGGCGGGGGGCTTAACAGAAGATGGGGGCAGGACATAAAAACATGGATTGGAACCAAAACATCTCAAGAAGGCGGAATGGAAAGAGACAATAATAGTATGTTGTTGCATGAACCATTGTGGAGCAATATCGAATTTCTGGATTTCCAAGAAGAATGTGATTTATGTCCTTAATGACACAACTTGGATCACTTGGAAGACAGGTTTTAATCACGTCGGACAGGGTCATTGTGGGCTAGGGGATACAACATACCAAATGAAAGACCGAGATACTCGACAAAGATTCTCCCCACTCGGGAATCGAACTCAGAACTCCTACGTGCGACGACAAAGCGCATAACAGCTACACCACAGAAGCTGGTAATCCGTAGACCATTATTTGTGTGTTTTATTCGAAATATGTCCTCTTTTGACGCTTTTTAAAAAAATTATGTGGAGCCCCTTTACTTATGCAGGTGAGTAGGAGGAAAGGACAATATGCCCTTATCCCTATTACATGCCACTTGCAGTGATGTAGTAGTTATTTTTTACGACCATAGTTACTGTTGTTTCTGATACTTTTGATGCTGTTGATGCTGTTAGTGATGGTGGTCGTTGTGCTGTTGTTGTTGTGGTTGTTGTTGGTGTTTTTGTTGTTGTTGTTGTTGTTGTTGTTGTTGTTGTTGTTGTTGTTGTTGTTGTTATCATTATTGTTTTTGTTATTGTTGTTGCTTTGGTTTTTGTTTTGTTTTTATTTTGGTATTGATGCTGTCGTCCTTATTGTAGTTGTTGCAGTGGCGGTGGTGGTGGTCACTTTTATTGTTGAAATGAAGCATGCTGATGGTGTTTATTGCTGTTGTTACTATTGATGTCGTTGTTGTTTTGATTTCTGGATACAATTAAGGCGAACTACTGAAATTGCATGTTACTGGAGCTGAAGAAACATACTCTGGTTCCGCAGTTCTTCTTGCCCCGTGGTCCAGTTGGCACACAGATGTAGATCTCCACGTCAGCGGAGGCTCCGATGTTGTGCAAAAGGAAGCCGGCAAACACACGACCGCTCTCCTGTCTCTGGTGCAGAAGGTTCTCCAACTGCGGGATCGTCATGTGGTTGAAGGTGAGGGTATCGTACTCGTACTGGAAGTGGTTGCGGTAGTCGAACGTGTCCGCGGGACGACTGGTGAAAGGAAAAGAAAATAATGTAGCATCCAGTGTTTACTGCCATGCAACGTACGTCAAATTGACTCGGGTTTAGCCAGATCTCCCTCCATTGAGGTACAAAAGCTACCATTTTGGCACTATACAATCAATGCAACTTGCGACCCTGAAAAGCAAATGCGTTTGATCTGAAGGATGCTATCGAATTTAGTCAGATTTGGTCGTGTTGTGCCAAAATGGTAGCTTTTGCCATATGTGGAAAACAATTCTAACAACCCTAACAGGAAGGCTCAAAGACCGCCTCCTAAATTATCTAAATTGTGTCAATGGGGGCGCAACGACACCGACATTTTCAAGTGGAAAAAATGAAAGCCTCCTCTGTTCCAAGCTTTGATTTCTCACCTGTATCTGTTTGTGGCGTCACCGTGGTTGAAGTCGTCGTTGTTGAAAGGCTGTAGAGGTTTTCTCATCAAGTTGATGGCGCAGTCAGCCTCGTTGTAGGGCAGGCCTCTGTAACGCTGCAGCTCTTGCCAGATGGCCCAAATCCTGGACACAGATACAGAAAAAGAAATCAGTAGTAATTTTACGAGCCCAGGGTTTATAAGGTGTTTTATACAATTGGTGGTCACCACTTTGTAGCGCCATGTTTTTGTTTTAGTTTGTTTTAGTATGTCTTGTTTTATTTTTAGCCAGGGTTATCGTGTCTTGCACAAGGACACATCCCAGTGACAACTCACCGAAACGTCGTGTCACCTGCAAATGCTTGGCATCTATTATGAGCCTGAGCTTACTAACCAATCGGCCTCAGGAGATTTTTTTTGGCAAAAATCGGCAGACCTTTTTTGCACTATTAGAGACTATTTCACTAACTTTCTCTGAATCACGTATTGTTTTAATAGCAGTAGTAGGGATATATGATTATTGGCAATAGCAAGTCCATTGCCCAAGTCAAATTACAGATGTTCCAGTTAGGCAAAAATTAAAACTGCAATTTGAAATCTCTCTTGAAATATTAAAGCCAGAAGAAATAGTGAAGATTTTTTGTTCATTCGCAGAGTAAAGACAAGAGCCGACCAACGCATTCGACAGTCAAGCCTTTTCAGATAAAAATATTTCGTGGAAAGTGAGGATTGGGGGTTTTATGATCAAATTGTTTCTTATGTTTATTAATCGTGGAACAATTAGTTAAGGCCGAAAAACTTGCTGGAAAGGGGTTCTTCCTCTGAAGATCTCCTGCTGCCCGCTCGCCCCACGAGTTTTCTCCGACATTACGTTTATTAACCTTGGAACACATCTTCCTAGAGTGCAAGACATACAGGCCCCTGAACATTAAACGTGACCAACAGAGAAACGTAGCAGGACGACCCAGTATACCTGTTTTCAAATATGATGCAGTCGAGAACAAGATGAAAGAGGAGAAAGAACTGTTTATTCAAGCAAGAATACGCTGACTCACCTGTCAGTGTTTGCGTGATGCAAGAAGAAGACAGGGTCAAAAGCCGTGTAGTCGAGAGAGGAGAACGAGTACTCAGCACGTCCGCCCAGCCAGGAGTGCAGAGCATTGTGGATCAACTCAAACTGGATCTCGAAGTCGCAGAAATTGGTCTGCTCCAGAGCAAACAGAGTCTGCTGGTAGAAGTAGTCGTTGTTGAACAGCTGGGGCTGGGGGTCTCTGTGGACGGGAGGACACCAGAATTGTAGCTTTATTCTATAAGGGAACATTAGAGGTCAAGATGGTTACTGGGGGGGAGTTTGTTACACGCAGACTACAGTTAGAAACCGAGAGAGTGAGTGGGGAGCGAGAGAAAGAGAGAGAGAGAGAGAGAGAGAGAGAGAGAGAGGGGGGGGGGGAGCGAGAGAGAGAGAGAGAGAGAGAGAGAGAGAGAGAGAGAGAGAGAGAGAGAGAGAGAGAGAGAGAGAGAGAGAGGGAAAAAGAGATGGAGGAAAGCAGAAAATAAGACGAAATGATGTCTTTTGGTTGGATATCTATGACGGAATATCCTATAGAATTTTCTATAGACTGTCTAATCGATACAGAGGTTTTTCTACTTTGTCAGAGGGACTTGGATAGCGAGATTCATAATAACAACAGCCCTGTTTGTGAGTTCACTGGTGATGCCAAATGACAAATGGGGCCTGCAATGTGACATCAGTTCATGGGTGCTGAAGCGGACTCAAGCCACTAGAGAACCATTACAGTAAACTGACTTTTTTGAGCGTACAAATTCATTACAGATGCAGAAACACCGAAAGAAGACACATACGAATTTATTTTTAGTGGGGGAGGGGCCTCTGTTTTGTTTCTCCCAAAGAACATAATCTGATAGTCAAGGTAGGTCATGAGTTTCTTTTTGTTTTTCCCCTGAGGTTTATGGTAACGGTATCAAATTTGGGGGGAAATGGGGCGGGGGGCGGTTATAACGAAGTGAAAAGACAGGGCATTAAAAGAAAAATTCCTCTAATATAAGATTTTTTTTCTAGACTAGCTTTGATGCAAAACACATGACAACCAAATTTGAAAAAAAATAATTAATTAATGTAAATCGTACCTGGTGGTCACAGCATCTTCACCCAAGACTTTGCCGCTGAAGAACGGGTTGGGCTCGAACTTTTGAGTACGTGAGTTGAAGTAGGTCGCGTCGTTGATCAGTTTGGGCAACTCAGTGATGGGTTGGGTCCAGTCCCAGTAGGGGACAGCCACGTTGGAACCGCGGCCCAGGAGCGCCTCCTCCACCTGGACACACACAGGACAGAAAATGTCTCAGGAAATTCAAAGTTTACTTGGAAATTGTACAAAAAGGTTTTGTATAAGTAGAAATTAACGTTTATAATATAAACACTTGAGGACAGAAAATGTCTTCTATGAAATGGCAACACTTACTTGTAAATTGTAGAGGGAGTTTGATATGAGTAGAAATTAACATGTATGATATATGCACACAAAGGACAGAAAATGTCTCATATGAAAAAAACGCGTATTTGTAAAGTGCATGAAGGGTTTGGGTTGACCAGAGATTAACTTGTATAATATACACATGCGGGAAGTAGGGGACAGAGACGAGGTCTCCACTTTTGGGAGAGGAGTGTCAGTTCGGAACCCTGACGACAACTATGTTTTTTTTTTAACTGCACTGTATTGGGCTTCATGTCTTTATGTAAGAGAGGACGGGTCATCGAGCGTGGTGGACAATAATTTAACACCTGCAATACACAGACTTTCCGTTATAATGCGGGTTAAACGTTTCGTCTTTCATTTAATAATTATTTATTTAGCGGCTTAAATCAGTTGCTCGGGCATACCTGCTCCACATAGAGTCTGTGCCAAGCGGGGAAAGTAGCCATGCCGTGCACACAGCAGGCAACCTTGCGTCCGTTGAGCTCACACAGTCCAGGTTTGCCGTGGAAGGCGGCGATGTTGGCGTAGGTGTCGTCTTTCTGGATGGAGAGGAAAGCGGCTCTCAGACTTTCTACCTCGCCTTCGTTCAGAGTGGACAGGTCCCGGCGCACGTAGGACGCCGCTGTCACAGCTTCACGGTACTCTTGGCCGTACAGCTGACCTTTGGAGAGATGGATGTCATGTTGATGAAGAACTTTATCTTAGAGCTCGCTCATAATTTGATCTCGACTTTTAATATCCAACAAGGAAAAAAGGTTTTAGATCTTGCTAACTATTGATGGTAAGGAGAAAAAAAGTAAAGAAAGTAATAGCAGGCAGATTACAATGATCACAAACCCCACAACTCGTCAAAGATTGTAGCACCTTCTTTCTCTTTCTCAAAGTGGCGTTCTCCTCTGCCTAAACATAGTAGTAGGTTGAACCTTCTTAAGGTTTCGTTTGATGGAAAAACTTAAAACTTTGATACCCACAGCACATGCAGGTCTACTTTCTCTCAACTGTGTCGATGCGAAGGTATGCCACATGGCACCTGATGTCAGAATAAAAAGGAATGGAAAATACGGAAACATGCAGCCAGGAAAATACCAGATCTATTCATAAACGTCATTTATTCCTCTTATGGTTTAAAAGAAACGTCTTGCCTAAGGCAGTTTGAAATTCGGGATACGAAGCACTGCTTTGGGATAGAAAGAGGAGGGGTATCTCGCAAAAACAAGAGAATAAAGGATCTATTGCATCTTCACGCAATAGATGATGTATTATTCCATAATAAAAGGTAACATAATTGTAATTTCTACACTCCATCATGCACCTAACTGTTTGTTTTGAGAATAAAATTCCTGTTGTTGAAGGGCACATGGTAATAGAAAAAGAGGCTTACTTGTTCCATCTTCCTTAACAACAGTGGGGGTAGGGAATGGCTGGCCAATGTCTTCTCCTTGTAGATTCAAGACCTCGTATCTGACACTGTAGCGATCATTGTATCTCAACCCCAGAGCAGCCAGGGCATCGGTGATCTCGTACTTGTACAGCCTGTCGTAAGACCAGGCCATCTCGTTGACGTCACCCAGAACGTAGAACTCTCCGGCATAGTTGTTGCAGTCATCGTCGCTCCTATGGAAAAGCGCAACGAGGAAACTATTAAGCAATGGCTAAAAAGCGGTCTTATCATCACCATCACCGTCGTCATTATCATTGATGATCATCATCGTCGTCGTCATCGTCGTCATTATCATCATCATCATCATTATTATCACCATCATCATCAATATCATCAGCAGTTGCAGCAGCATCACCGCCATCATTATAGCGCATAAACACACTTTACTACAGCATTCTATGGGCGTTGCAACTATTATTACCTCTGCACACCCTCGAAGACGACTCAGAAATATTATCGGCCTCCAGAGAACCATTATTGACAAGCATCCGATCAGCTCAAAAACACTTACACAAACTTGCAAGATCTTCTGCTGTCTATTGCTGAAAAGCTGAAAAGTTAAAAATATTTCTTCTTTTTCAAAAATACTTCTCGTCTCCGGAAGTAGAGTTTAACAGTTACTCACTTGCAGATGTAGAACTTGACCAGCGCCGACTGTTGGATGCCGTGCAGCATGAACCCAGCAAACACGCGATCTCCGGCTTTGTTCTGTTCCAGAACGCGCGCCAGTTGTGGCACGGACAGACCGTTGAACTCCAGAGCGTCGTACTCGTAGTGGAAGTTGGTCTGGTAATCGAATACCTACACGAAAAAATATACGGTTGGCAAGCTGTTCCACCATTCTAAGCCCAAATTGCACAATTGTTCAGGAGAGAAAGATAAACTGTTTTCCTTTTCAAAGAAAATATTACTGCATTTGTTTCTATGTATATTTTCTTTCTTTTTTTCTTGTTGTTTTGTTTCACTTTGTTTTTCGCTTCCTTCTCTTTATAGAATTGGAATTTCTACAAAACGATTCTTCAGCGCATGCAACGAATGCCGCAGATAAAGAAACGGCATTTCCTCCGGACATTGGATTTGAAGAACAGGCCAGAAGACAAACTTCATTTTCAAAAGAATATTGTGGAATTCCTAATTTCTTTGGGCATTAAAAAAAATTGTCAAAGTGTGAGTAAATTATATATCTAACATATCACAACGTTAACAATGCAAACTGCTCAGAGGCAATGTACCTGGAAGGGCACAGAGTGCTCCCGGGTCACGGGGTCAGGGTTGATGTCAGAGGTCAAGCTGAAGGGTGACAGCGGGTTGCGAAGTTGTCCAATAGCGCAGTTAGCGGTGTTGTAAGGTTTGCCGCGGTATTTTTGGAGAGCCTGTCAGAGAGATAATAATAATAATAGTAATAATAAACAGTCATAATAAAAATAGTCTTAATAAGCTGTTTAACAATATCGCCCATGTGCTTGCAGATTGTGTTTTCTTCTGCCCAAGAAATTAATCCAGCTACAGAAAAATACAATATCAAAAAAGAAAGTTAAAAGAATATCAAAGCTGTGGGGAATACTCCTATCAATCAACATCGATGTCAGGGACTCTTCGTTATCTAATTATGGACGACTGTGAACTTAGCCACAACACTGCGAAACATTATTCAATTTCCAAAAGGTATATGAATGAAACTGTCCATACTGAAAGCTGTCTGTAGCAGGGAAATGACTACGCTCTTATCATATATTATAGAGAAAAGAAAGAGGTTAGTTTTACTGACTTAGAATTCATTTAAGTCGTCGAATTAGTGTCGATTTTTTTCAGCTGTTGTTTACGGTTGCTGTGATTTAGATTTCAACTGCAGTTCTAATCTTTGTTAGAATGGTTAGTCTTGTTGTATAAATATGATTGATTATTGCATCTGGAACTTTTGACGGTTTTGAGTTACTAAGACCATGAAGTCAGAAACCAAATGTTCTATCTGCTCTTCCAAAATCGTAAGATTATTTGGAGCCACTATCAGAACATTCAAAGAATTGCATCCTTAAAATGTTGCGACACTCAAATTTTCTCACGTCAAATGTTTCAAATCTAAGCATTGGACTGATTGTACTTTGTAATTCTGATGTAACGAAATGTTATTTTTTTTCACTG